GCCCCTTGGGCCTCGAAGCTGCTGGCGAGGCCCGCGGCTCTTCACGGAGGTCGTTGGGAAGCGCCGCCGCTCGGCCCTGTCCCCACCTTGCTCTGGGCTTTGCTTCTGAAAGCATCTTCCAGCCTCTGACGCTGTCAAACGCGCTCCTGAAATCACCATAACCACTATTTACTATTCACAAATTAAATCTTCATTTCTTTTTTTTTTGTTTGTTTTGGTTTTTTTTGTTTTGTTTTGTTTTTGGTAATATGCCCGGTGTTGCTGCTGGCATACAAATGGGTGGATTGTCTGTGTTAGTGTCCCTGGAAAAAAAAGAAATACTACATTTATAACGTTGGTGGTTAGTGTCACTTAATACACGCATGGCTTCATGTTAACAGTTCTTTTTGGTTTGTTTTTTGCAATAATAGTTTTAAAGGACACTCTGGAAAAAAGAGGCGCACTCGGGCAAATCAAGGCAAGGATCAGAGCTGAAGTTTTTAATGCACTGGATGACCAAAGCCAACCACGGCCACCGCTGTGCCATGAAAACCTGGTAATCAATGAGCTCATCCGTGAATACCTGGAGTATAACAAATACAAGTATGCGGCATCTGTTTTAACTGCAGGTATTGGGACAAATGTACATTTTTTCACTGTTTTAATTGTCATCACCTGTTACCATCATTGTTCAGCTGGGCTTACAACAATAGTTAAGTGTGACCAAGCTGTCTTGTCTTATCTTCCAATGGCTGTAAATAAGGCACAGACTCTTTATACTGCGTTATTAGCATTATTAAGATAATTCATATCATTAGTTTCCCCAAACACTTACTCTTTGTTGTTTTCCCTTGAGACACATGCTTTGACAGAGAAATTGATGCATAAGCAAGAAGACTTCCCACAGCCTGCAAAATGGAAATATGGAATGTTCAATTTTGTTTTGGAAAATGGTTAACAGTATTTTTTTTTTAAGCATGTAATGCATTTTTTTTCTCAATGGCATTTGGGTAAAATAGTTAATAGAAACCCTACAAATGAAGGAACAAAATTATTTGAGAAATAATCTAAAGTAATAACATAAAGATAGCCTGACTTATAACAATCCTGGTAACTCATGCACATGAATTTTATCAGAAACTAGGTTGTAGTTATATATTTTTTAAATACATGAAGAACATTAATGTTTTGGAACACGTTAAATGTTACTTAATCGGCTATTTTAAAATATAAGTATTTGAGAGCTGTTTAGACTACCACATCCACTAAAAGGTAGCTCTGATTTATCTAGTACTACATGTAATTACACTTGATATGTGATAACTTCATGTGTTAGTATATTTAACTGTTCAAATTACAGACGTGTTCACTGCAATGGAGGGAGGGAGTGGAAGCGTAGTCTGTTTTACTTAATGTGTGCAATCTGTCTCATAATAGTATTTTTCTAGAGAAGAAATAGTTTCTCTGATTAATTCATCATAATGCTATAAGACTTTAATATTTTTCTTAGATTTTTTTAGAGTGAACATTAACACCATAATATGCTATGGCAAATATTCTTAGTATGAAGCCTTCCAAAATGAAGTTGGGTATTTTCAGTGTAAAAGTGTATACTCTGATTCTCAGACTTCAAAAGTTACACTGATTATATTTTTCATAACAATCTTAAGAATTCTGCGGAAATTTCTTTTTCAGAATCTGGCCAACCTGAAGTGCCTTTGGACAGAGAGTTTCTTGTCAAAGAGCTGAACATTGCTGAAGACGCAAATAGCAGATCAATGTAAGGAGTGCTTTGGGAAAACACAGTATTTTCTGTTTTGCACATGACATTCCACTGTCAGTAACATTCATTTCACTTTAGTATTATTAGAAATCACATTTAAATGTTATCTCCCTTGTTGTTAGTGTGACTAGAGCACATGTCTAGTCTAACAGCAAATCTCAAAAATGGACCCATTATTTGCATTCAAAACCACAAGTCTCTTAACAGTTAAGAGTCTTCCCTACAGTGAGAGGTAGAGAATAAATATGCTCTTTGCCTATCTGTCAGTTTTTGCAGATCAATAAAAATTATTACACTCTGAGATTAGATATAAATTCATAATATGATACGACATGGTCCATGAGATAAGGTACTGAAACAGGTTTCTGAGGACAGTGCTCAATGTCCTCTGTAGTTTGGGCTCAAACCATCTATCCTGTGGTAAGGAAGAATCAAGTTTGGGATGTCTGGTGGTAAGTAGAGTACCAAAGTCTGATACGTTGTATTGCATGAGTGGAAATGTGGGTCTGTATTCACATGCAAACAGGCTGTGGTTCCTTGCCTACAGGGCATCTGGAGTTCAGTTGAAAGTGTCACCAGGTGCAGGATTTTTGAGATGACTTTGGTCTTCAGGATGAGCTTAGGTTTGTGGTTGCTTATATAATTTCACCTGGCATAATATATTTTAATTATTCTAAGGACATTTGTACATGTTGTAAGAGTAAACATTAAGGTCTAAAAACTTGTTTTTTTGGTTTTTTGTTTGTTTTTAGCATAATGCTTAGTATTTCATGGACTTCATAGACTGCTTATGTCATTTTTCTCTCTTAAGCAGACCTCTACTGTATGGAATCATAGCTCATTTCTTACATCGTGGTAAAGAAGAAAGTACATCAAGTACTCTTCCAAAAGTGTCTTTGCTGAACTATCCAAGGCAGAATCTCAGCAAACCAACTACTGAAAGAAATCAAAAAGGTGAGTGTAGTCATTTTTGCAGGAGTTTTCTTTGTGATTAGTGTTTCTGCATAATACATTTGCTTATAACTGCATCAACATGGAGGTGGACACAGTATTACTTCTTCTGTGTGCAAGGAATGTTTTGAATTGACACTTTTTTTTTTTTGGTAGGAAATATTCCTCAATACAACATTGTTTATACCTCAAAAATAGTTAAGCTGTTTGACCTGAACATGCCTGTTGCTCATGTATTCATTTAAGAAATGTCCTATTGTGTTCAGTTCATGAAAGACCTACCTGTGACTTCTGGAACTACCTGTCTACGTTTCTTTGTTTAAATAATTGACCACCTAACCACCTAAAAAGCTGCGAGGCCTCCTCTTTTCTACTGTTTTGCTAACGAGACAGCATAAATGCTGTACAAATCTATCATCCTCAAAACTACTTGACTGGCCATCACATGTGTCAGTAGTAGTAATTTTCCTCTGAAGTGGGAATGTATTTTATTTAGAAAGAAAACATTTTTTTAAATTACAAACACCCAAATTTATTTAGATGCACTGTTGAAAATTATATAAGCAGTTCCTGTTCATCCTAAGATAGCTGTAACTACTTGTTAGATACTAAAAGGAAGGACTGGGGGAAAAGAAATTGCTTAGTTTTATTTTTTAAAGCCTAAAGACTGTAAAATGCTAAAAACATTTAAACTGGACAGATGTAGTATTCTAATCAGTAGATGGAAGTAAATTTGCCATGGCATTTATGCTAGGGTTTTAGAAATAAAAAACTGCTACTGCAGTTACTGGTAAAGACTAGAAAATCTTATTATTAATAGTCCTATTAATTTTTTCAAATCCATAAAATTTGAAAAACCTGAGGATTGAGATAGTCTTAAGAAATCTAAAAAGTGAGAGAAGTACTGAATAAGTACTCTTTTTTAACAATTAGATTAATTGAGACAATGTTCTTTCCCTTCTGCCAGAAGAGGGTGCCAAAGAAGTAAAATTTCAATGGCAAAACTGCTCTAACTGGTCTCTGTTAGAAAATTCTTATATCTGACAGAAACTTCTCCATTTTTCAAATACTAAATTAAGTGTTATAGAAGGTTCTTTTCTTTTTTAAGTAGAACTTTGTATCTCAGTTTTGAAATTGACTTTGTGCAGGTCACTTGACTTTGTTGACCCTAAGAGAATTTCACATAGAGATTTAATTGCTTAGAGGCAATTAAAGGACTCAGGTTTGCTTATCAGATATTATCATCTGTTGCTCTTCGAACTAAAGAAAAAAATAAAGCTCAGCTCTAAGGCTTTTAACCTTAAGATAACTATAGTCTGATATTATTTTTTACATATGTTTCAGGAATATGTCAGTGGAGACCTAAAGGCAATGGGTTTCAAGTACCAATTACCTAGCTATTTAAATGACGCTTCATATTAATTTGATGAAGTGCATTCATAAACTCATCTTTCAGGTCTTATATTTAACATATAACTTATTTTGCTTATTAGAAATCGTCTTATGTTGCTGAATGAGTGTTTCAATAAACTGTAATATAAGAAAACAGAGAATCCTGATATAAAGTGTGGAAACTGGTGGTTCTGTTAATTCCTTCATTATACCTGAGCTGAAGTTGTCTTAGATCCATCTTAAATAATGTGTTCAATAATCTCTTATTCTATATAGTTGTGTAGACAAAATATAACTGTAAAATTGGCCATGTTTCCTATGATAATCTTCTGTACGAGGTTCCATATTAGAATTAAAAAAAAAAAATTTACATCCTTGGATCTGCAGATGCATAAAAATACTCATGAATCACTTGTCTGTGCTTCATTTTCAGACAGAATTCCAGAACCAGGAAGGATGGCTGGCACTGTCATCGAGGAACCCCTTGTTTTACCGAGCATAAACAGATGATGTCTTTGATATGTTCATTTCTTATACAAAGATCTTTGGGACTCATTGCATTAGTTGTTCCATCGTGTCCAGTGGGACCACTTCAGTTTGTAAAAGCTACCAGACAGGAAGAGAGGATCATATTAATTGCCAATAAAAAATAAAACAAATGTTAGCAAAGGACATCTTCCTCCACTGCTGATAGAAGGAAAACTGAATATGAAGTCAGATTAGTCAAGCTTCTGTCTAGAATGGGACCTAAAAGTACCTGGTTTCTTTTATAAAAATAAAAATATATCAGAAAAGACACAATTCCCGCACTTTTTCTTATGATGTTGTGGAGTATTTTTTTGTTACATTTTAGAATAAAAATGTTTTATTATGTGTGGTGTTTTGAAAGGGTTCAAAATAAGTATTTTAATTTTTTTTTGTTAAAAGGTAGCTGCTGCTACTTTCAGATAAGTATGGAAAAATAAATTTGAAAATACAATTTAAATGGTTTAAAGAAATACTTGTTTTTACTTCTCCGGAAACCAGGACTATATTTATCTTCATGCTAGCAAACAAATGAAGGCAAGTCTTTTCCATCCGGAGTTGCTATAAATTGTATGGTGTAAAGCTAAGTATATGGCAGGGGCAGGAGCTTTTCTTTTTTCCCAAAGAACCTGAAGGTCAAAGTCAGGGGAAAGTAAAAATAAAGTTGATAATAGATTACTGATTCCCATAACTATATTTTAGCTGCAGTATTTACTTTTATTATTTTAAAAGCAGAACTTGTAGGGGTACATCAAAAACAACAGATTTGTTATCTACACTCATAAAAATGGAAGAGAAAATGCAGTTTGTAAATTTTAGTGAGAGCACCCAGTGCTGTACAGTCTCTGCCTTACTCATGATTAGACCCATTTAAGCCTTAGAGGTGTTTTTCATTTCAATAAACAGTCCACGCTGTGAGGTGAAGTTGCAGAGAATGTTTATGGGTATAATACAAGGGGAAGCTGCATTTACCTGCTTCGAGGATGGGCAGTGAGTTCAAGCCCTCCTTGTGCCTGGCCGTGCTGCCAGCTCCCGATTTGCTGATTCTTTCAAGACTGGTCCCACAGCGGTGGGGAGCAGGGATATATTTACAGATTTACTTCATTCAAATACATCTTTAAAACTTTTGTAATTGATTATAGGGTTAAGTAAGCCAGTTAATCCCTGTGTATACCCTGGCTGTTTGATCTGTATTAACATGACGATCAAATCCAACTACTTAGCTGAGGCTCTATGTTGAAGTTATCATCAGGGATTCTGCCTCCTTATTACGGTTCTTGCCTGGCACGTTAACAGAAATATTCATTCACATAATCACCAATCTCTCTCTTCATCATTCCTCTCTCTAAGAATACAGTGGAAAACTTGTCTTTCAAAATATTATTTACAAATCTTCATTTTGCAATGAGCTCTAAGTGGTTCTATGGTAAATTGCAAAAATGAACTTCTAAGGAATGCATCTGTGATTTTTCTAGGCATACAAAACCCTGATTTTTTAATTTTGTGCATTTTCAGAGGTTAAATTCTAGACACCTCTTTCTCCATAACCAAGTGAGTCAAATTAATATGTATATTCAGAGTCTGCATCGTCTTTTCAAGGGCAAAGAAAAAGCCTTTGCTGGAAAACGCAGAAGCTGTAACTTTCAGTGCTATGCAAATCTTGCAGTGTAACTAAAGCCCAACTAAACACCCGCTATGTGTCTTCCCAGTACAGGTCATACAGAAACTGCCAGTTGTCACAGAGTCCCCAGGACATACATCATACATACATCTTTAGTGGCAGAAATGAAGCAATATTTTTGTTCTGATGGAAGAAGATGAATGGAAGTTTGGTCCTCATCCCTTCCCAAGAACATCCCTTCAGGATGATCATGGTCTCCACAACCATGAAAGCCAAGGCTGTTAGAAGAACATTTTTAAGTGAAGGTGCATATCTGAAATCAGAGTAGAAATCCATTTTGGATAGAGGAGAATTTCAGGACCATTCTCTTCGGCCTGGGCAGTGGAAGAGCCAGCTCTCAGTGCAATGTGCTTTGCTGATACAGAGGGTAGGAGCTGGCCTATTTGCTCTCTGGGCAACAGTAGTTTCATCTAATTCTGTAATACTTCCATAGCAAAGATTTTGTTTTTTGGAACACGAGAATTCATTGTACAAACAAACAGTATGCTTTCAGTAAATTTATTTGTACAAGAAAGCTTTGAAATATATCTATGAAAATATACTTGTGTAATCCCGTTCTAATGGTCCAGCATTTATCCTGACAGCAAATGAAACACGAACGCATCTTTCTAATTCAGACATGTGGCAAATTCTCTGAGTGTCAGCTTGCCTTCTTTGTTAAAGTATGAAGAGGAAGTGCAAATCCTCTGCTATAAGGATGCACTGACAAATATTCCTTAAAAGTTCTTTCCTAAGCTAGTTCAGTATTTAGGGGTAGGAGTTAACTTAAAACAGGCTGTTCTTTGTCCAAGTGTGATATTGCAAATGAAGGTGACAAGGAGGCAGTGCAGTTTGGCATAGATATCAGATCGGGAAAGCACGTTGGAAGAACCTAACACACAAGTTTAAAAAATGTATTAAAAACGAAATTCTTACTCTCCTCTAAAATCAGAGGAAACTATGTTTCTAGAATCTAGAGTATGGGTGTTATTTCAGAGGTATTAGTTTCTGTCATGTACACAGAAGAATTTTTCTAAGCTTTATCAGCAGGCTCCAGGGAGTCGGTTACACTTTCCTTCCTGACAACTCTTTCTATCAAGTGGCATCTTGGTGTCAGTTGATCACTTTTCCGGACAACTGATTACCACTTTACGATTACGTTTAGGAAGAGAAAAACAGAAATATTTGTTCACACTTTAAAAGACATTCTTTCATTAGCAGTTGGTTTCCAGCTGGTTTAGAGTTGACCTGTATGCTTCATGTAGTCTGAGTTTATCAGGTCAATAAAAATTCAGTTCTGAGGTGGTTGAGGATTCTGACCCGCGTCCAGCATTAAGCACAAGGTGTAACATTAAGAAGATAAAAAGTTTGTGACTATTTTGCCTTGTCAGATTCCTCTATCCTTAATTTTCTTTTGTTTTGGAGGCCTCCTGTTGCAAGTGTACATCTTTACATAGGTGTTAAGCTGACAAGTTTATTTGTTGGTTTCCAATAACCCACCACTTCTTACATTTCTTAGCTTCCAATTGCATTTGTCAGCTTAAAGAAGAAATATTGTTGCATAAACTTTAAAATAAATTTGAAAATAATTTGTTTACCTGTACATTACTTAATAACGTAACTCATTATATGTTTTTCTTCTTTTCCTCCATTGTATTGTGTTTGAACAGTGGTAAGACAGCTGGAAGTTGCTTTCTTTCCTTCTCAAGGCTCTTTTCAAGTACAATATTTTCAGTGCGACTTCAGTAAGGAGATATTTAAGTGCAGACTGCTCAATACTGTATTTTTTTCTAGAAAAATATTTTAAAAATAAAAGTTTTTAAGCTTATTTTGTTGTTGGTAGATTCAGGGCCCCAATTTTAATCATCCAATTTCACTATCCTTCTTTCTGAGGCAGCTTTGGTACAAAAAAAAAAAGCACCTCAACATTTAGGAAATTCTGAACAGGCTATATGATTAGTATGTTCTTATGTTAACTTTTAAGTCAAGTTAGAGGCCACGCACTTAGCAGTTCCCACTCCACATAGCTCAGGAGCGCCACTGTTGCATTCCCAGCAGTAATATTCTTTAAACTTTCCAGTTCAGTTTAAAGTCACATCATATATCACCCTCTACCATAGCCTCTGTTAAACACACTACCCAGACAGCAAGCCT